TTTTGTTGACCTTTGTCCATGGAAGGTCCCTGCAAAATTTCATTGAAATTGGTTCAGGGGTTTTGGAGAAGAAGATTTTTGAAATTTTAGTCAATTTGACCCTTTTTGGCCCCGCCCCTCAGGCCCCTGGGGGCTTAGGACTAAACCGGCAACTGTTTTTGTTGACCTTTGTCCATGGAAGGTCCCTGCAAAATTTCATTGAAATTGGTTCAGGGGTTTTGGAGAAGAAGTCGAAAATGTAAATTGTTTACGGACGCAAGACGGACGATGGACGACGACAGACAAAAGGCGATCGCAATAGGTCACTTGAGACTTTGTCTCAGGTGACCTAAAAACTTAAATACAGCATACCCACATGACGTTAACTGGCAACAATTTTTGTGTACAAAGTACAGAAGTAAGAAGCTGTCTTTAACAATTGTTTTAAACAAGGGACATAACTCTCTTAAAGGAGCAGGGGCTGAACTAAAATGTAAAACCATGTGCAAAGGTACAAGTCATACGGGTAATGTGTGCAAAGTTACGTAGTGTTTCATGTAGGTAGGCAGGTGATGTCTGGACAGATTGTTTACAGAAAAACAACCACACTTTAGAATTTACCTCGCTGTGGGTGGAATTGGGAGTGTAATAACATAAATAGGAAGAAAAAAAGAGTTGTAAATTTCAAAGAACAATTTGATCTAAAGTAAACATTGTAAACTAATAGTTTTTCTTTGTTATGAACACTTAACTTCCTAGTTCATACATTACCTATGATGAGTTCACAGTACTTTGCCCGTATGATGTCGGGGAGCTGTTCTGCAGTCATACACAGATAGGCATCCTCCCAAGTCAAGTAACCATACTCCCGCGTGATCACAAATCCAGAAAAGTCGTTACGACCCTGTTCAAAAGTTTAAATCACAACACAAAAGCTGTTGAATAGTTTCCAGAGAGAGAAAATAAAGCAATAATCACAAACCTCTGCCTACGACACCGCAACAAAACGCTCCTCTACTTCATTTTTGAGTCTTGATACAAAATTAAAAATAGTTTGGATTGTACACAACAAAAATTTGATTTGATAAATCTGGTAAAAGTGTCTACTCCAATTGAACATTTTAAACATAGGTTTATTAGTTCAAAGTTTAAGAAATATTGAAATCCATAGTTTTAGCATTTAGATTCAAACTGATCATCTGAGGATAGAATCATGAGAATAAAGAAAACTTGATAATTGTCCAGTGTTAGTATATGCCAACTACACCTGATCAAACATATGTCTGGTAAAAATGTTTTTGTCAAGAAAAAAAAACACTTTAGATAAAATCATTAGAAAATTTGACAAGAAAAAGAGATAAAAGAAATACCAATTGTTTTTTTGAGAGGTAACTCGATGTTAGTTTCGCACACAGCGTTTACTGATAAAATGCAATCACAAGAGAGAAATCTGCATGATTTGATAGTGATGTTGACAGAAATAGCTGGACGCAATATCAATTAACAAGAAATAGACAATAAGTACTTATATTTCTATAACATAATTAGGTGTTTTAAATCAAATATACAGAACATTGCTTGTCTTGTGATGAACCCTGGTCAATGTTTATAAAACATCACAGGTGGCTCCAATTAACTTACAAAGCACAAGGCCTTGAACAGGTCGAGTTGGTGTAACAGGAACTTGTAGTCATCCTCCACAAACTCGGGTCCCTCCGTCTGTAACAAACAAGTCGACCCATAAAGCACACATCACCCATTCTTTTATTAAACTTCATCTGGTCCCATCACCCATTCTTTTATTAAACTTCATCTGGTCCCATCATCCATTCTTTTATTAAACTTCATCTGGTCCCATCATCCATTTTTTAATTAAAGTCCATTTAGTACCAAGGCAGAGGCAAAACATTTATACTGTGTAATCATCTTATTCCTATATCACAATATTGAAATGTTTTTAAACATATTTAATAAACCATACAAAGTTTCAGCTATCTCGATCCTCCTGAGATGATAAGTAAGTGGTAGTATACTACTTACATCCACAAACACATTGAGGGGTACCCAGCTCTTGGCCCCATCTGTAGACACATACACAATGTTTGGACGTTTGTTGATATTTTGTCCCCGATCCATCATATATACACTAGCCTGTAAATAAAGATAATTTCACAATCTTAATTTTACAAAGCTGAAATAACTGACAAAGAAAGTACTGTGAACATTATATAATAAATACAAATGTCAAATACTTAATTTGTTGTATCTGATGCAACGCAGGATGACATTTCACAAAATAACAAAAAGAAAACAACATACTTTTTATGAATTGTTTTTCTCCTGCATATAAGAAAAGGAATAATTGATTATAGAGTGGAAACTATCAATCCATCAAAGTAATAAAATTAACCTGGAAGGACCATGACTTTCACCTGAAAAATTAGTCCTAAACATGCACCTGTAACCAATTACAGCACTAGCTATAGAATCTTGTACATTTTGGTGGAGAAGGTTCCAAACATTGAAGTAACAAACGAAAAATGAAATGAATTGTGGTACACTTTAACGAAAGCAGATGTATGCGTAAAACATTTTCTGAAGCTGCCACATCCTGACTGTTTCTCAACCCTGAACCCTTCAGGCCATGAGAATATACATTAACTTTGGAGACGCTACACTGCTCTGCGAGTCTCCTCCATCATGGTAGTAAGGACATACTAGGGGAGCTTACCTTGTACTTGCGAAGCCACTGCTCCACTATATAGCTCTGATTGTTGGGGATGGCCACCCCATCACACACACACAACACTTGCAGCAGGTCAAGGAATCTATAGTTCTGTAAAAACATCCAAGGTACCGTTAGTCAACTGAATACCATTATCTTATATCTATAACATAAAGAACCAAATCTGACTAACAAGTCCTAGTTCCAGACAGATATTGCTGGTGTACAGTTGGAAACTTCTTTATGCTCGTATTTTCCAATTTCTCAAATTTGAAATATTAATTGATATTGAAGTTAACATAGAATAACTCAATTTAATCCACTTTAATAAGCTTTGTCTAAACATTGCAAATCATGCTAAAATAGAATGGGTCTTAATTCATGACATCTATAATACAAATAAAGAAGTCAGAAATTGAGAGAAAGCTTCACAGAAACTTGGAACAACTAACATGGTTTTTGATGAGAAGTTGAATGAATGTGTCGATGTGTTTCTTTGTGATTCTGTCTACTATCTTGCGCTTGTCTCGGATCAGCTCAACAATCATCTGAGCCACATTCAGGCCGATACCTCCCTGTAACAACAAAAACAACACCCTAGTATGTCATAGCTCGCACAAATCACATGTTACACAACCATTCAAAAGTTTTCTACATATTTCCATGATCAATCTCAGTAATGACTTTGCAGTGGGACATTAACCAGATTATCTCCCTTTGTAACAGTTTTATGATTTTGATAAGGTGAAATAATCTAGTTGTCTCCCATTAATTTTACCTTCTGGGTGAATTGAGTTTGGAAGAAGTCAATGTACTTTGCGAAGTATAGAGCATTTTTGCGACTTTTGCCGATCATGTAGGCATGGAGGACGTCATACGCTTCCTTGAAGATCCTGATCATGTGACTCTCCTCGTCACCCTCCCGCAGACAACACTGTAGCAGGTTCACCAGGATGTCTATCACCTGTAAGGGGAGATAAATCAACAAAGGGTAGATAAATCAACTGACAATAGGAGAAATATGGTGTGATAACAACAAACCTGGTGTTCCATCACTAAGATCTTATTATAGATGACAGGTTATCAATTTTAGGAACATTTATTGAATTTGTGAATACATGTTTCTTTGAAATACATTTATAAATCTTTTTTTTCACACATTATACAAGTAAGACTAATCTTTTTAAAATACAACAAAACCTGATAAGCAAAAAGAATTTTTATTTGCTTAATTCAGTTTTTGAAGAAAGCTTGAATATAATTAAATCGTCCCTCCAATCCACATCATTCCTCCAAAAAACCTTTTAATATGGAAGTAAGAAAAAACTCCCATAGAAAACAGGAAAACACATTCTCTATTTGCCATTGTGTATACAAAGATACCAGTGCATGGCCATCTTACCCTCAGATTCCTCATCAACTTCTGTCTGTTTTTGTCCGGCAGTCCTTGAGGCACCATGAAGTTCTTTAACTCTTGTAAGGCCTGCAAGTTCAAACAGATCTTTTCAATTTTAATTCTGGCTACCACATACAAACTAATAATCGCCCATCTCTTACAAGCACCCCTTATCCTTTTTCTGGTCCAAATATCCGTCAACTTCCAAATCATTTACAAATTTTTTGAAAACAGTGTCATTTATGGCTCTTTTCTGTCTGTTTTGGGTTTTTTTTTTAAAAAAGGTTCTTTTATTGTTTTAATTTTTCCATGATGCTAAGTGCCCAGGGTGCTCATTGAGTCAAATACAGTAATTACATAATGATATAAGAATATTTTTTTTAATTTATATCCTTTTTTATTTTTGGCATGCATTCATTGATGTTTTGATTGATTTATGGGCTATGGGATCGCTAGTTGCAACAGCTGCTCCCCTCCAATATATGTTGTTCTTTAATGTCAGCCCTCTGGTAAAGAATACACACTACAACACTTTTTGCAAACTTGATATAAAACCCAGTTTCTGATTTTATTTCAACATTGTAAACTTCCTGTACCTATCAATGTTACAACTCTTTAATTTATTTTTTATTTTATTTTATTTTACATTCATAATTACACAAATGATAACACAGAAAAGAGTATTATTATCAAGGGCTTCACTAACATCAACAACACCATACAATTAAAGACTGACCATTTAAAGATCTAAAGTTGTCAAAAAACACTGAGAGTCGAACCCATGGCTACCAGAACACTGGGTTTATATGCTATCAAGCACTCCTGACCTTACAGCCAACTGGTGTGACATAAAACTTATGCTATCATATACATCCACAAAACAATTCTACTAAGAACAGCAAGTCATTAACTTACCACAATAATACCATGTGTTTTCTTGGCATTCAGCTGGGTTGCCAACTGCAGCTAAAAAAAGACAATAAATCATTCAATGAATTGTGGAAATGTAAACCAAACTTTAAAATATAATAAATACAGAGATTATAAAATTATAAACTGTTGTATTTTGCAAATATTTCATAAAAAATAATTAAGACATTAAATACCTTGAGGTGATCGATTACAAGTACACAATGGTTTTCAAACATTACTTCTTTAACTAGTGAATGGGGAAGGGGACAGGCAGTGCATTTATTGACAGTGTAATGGTTTACTAGGATATTAAGTGTGACAAAATATATAGGTCCTTCTGTTAATACAGACTTACATCTTGAATGAGATTAAAGAGGAACGGCACCATTCCAGCCACAAAGTTGAAGTTTGAGGTATCAAGTCTAACCACTTCCTGTATTGTGTAGGCATCATCATACATGCTCTCACTGCTCGCCGACACCTGACAATAAAAATGAAATAACGGTAAAAGAATCAAACTATACACATCCAATAGAACTTTAGACAGATCTCTAAAACTCTCAAACTCAATCTCATTCAGGAAACTATATTAAATGCCTCTTACTTTTGAAATTCATGAATTCGAAGTGTCTTTAAGGAAATTGACCTTTTATAGGACAATTAAGATGTCAGTTCTTAATGAATTCCAAAATTCAGTTTCATAAAATTCATTTGCACTATTTCCCAAAACCATTTTATCTATACCTTCCTAACAGATGCTGTATCCCATCGAAGACCTTGCATCGACCTCTCACCATTCTCCTCCATCCCTCGCCGGTCATAGTCCTCATCTATTGGTCAACAAGGAGTCACATGATCAAATATTAAGCACTCATACATCACATGTTCAAAATTCATCTCCTTTAGTTCTCACATGTTGGTCAATAATGAAATCCTTTACTATAGTATCAGTCAAAATGTTTCATTCATATTCTTTTTTTCAAATTCATGGCCATGAATAATGTCACATGATCTTGTAAAAAAGCTTAGAGATGTCTAGGAAACATATGTCTCTGATAGAATTATGCATTATATTACAGAATAAATGTTCATTGGTGTAGTTCTGCTAGTTTTTATAAAACCTGACCCTGAAGCCAGATAACAAGTACTTTATCGTTTAGGACATTATCTCCTATAGACAGCTGAGGTGTCGTCCTTGCTACATCATATCTGTCTGGTGTTGATTATACAATAATTCCTTATATTGGTTCTATCAAATATCTTAGTCCAGCATTTATTTTATTTTCATCAAAAATATAACATAGAGCTTCGATACGAATCTAGAAGACATTTAAGAAAATTTACAAATTCATTCAAAATAACTTGAGGATTAATTACAATTCCCAAAAATAATTGCTCTCTATTAAAAAGAATTACATTATTTTGCTTCCCTTCAAATGTTTTTTGCAGTTTGATGAATATGATTATGTTAAAATATTACCTATTTCAAATCAAAGAATTATTGTTCATTTTCCTGATGTGTTTTATATTCAGTTTTATATGTAAGAGCACAATAACGGAGTCGTTACCAACAACACAAAATTCCCTTCATCAAACCATAAAGTTATCATGGCAGAAACAATTTGGTATTCGAAACTGTTAATAAAATATGTCTGTGCTTTGTACTGGGAACAAAAACATCCTGGACTTGTTTAAAAGACATCAGAATGTACTTCAAACTACTAGGGGAACTTCTTGTTGCCTCCCTGGATTATCTCCCCATATTTTTGTCTGCCACTTCCCCCCTGACTTTTGATACAGAAATATCAAGTTATTAGCTGTACTAAGATGTATATATCAGATTGTTCTTGGCATGAAGAAAATGCACAGTAATCAAAGGCTCCGAAATACATTAAGCATTTTCCTGCAAGATATTTGGCAAAACTGTGCAAGATTCCAGAATCAAATTCTCAATTTCTTGTGCACATGACAAACAAGTCCTTAGTTTCAAAGGCTTAGGGAACACTGCTGCAATCCAATAAAATTCATAAAATTATTGTATACAGAAAGATTGCTACAGAAGTGTACTTGAAAGGACGGTGAATTAATAATGAGTTGTGGAATATACATGGGTACGTATGTATATAGACATTAATCACAAGTGTCCTTAACAAGGTCCACTAATTAGCCCAGGTATCAGACAGGTGTTATAACAGTGATGTTTGTACCTGTTACAGCCACCAGATACTTTCTACTGTCACCAATTAATTAACAGTTACATCAGAATACAGTGAAATAATTAGTCTGTCTGGAGCCAGTACACAAGACACACCGTCATTACAGAGGATCACTATTTTAGATCTTACGGTGGTACACGGTCCTCGGAAGCTGGCGGTGTTTATGTGGTTGGAGTCCAACACAGATAGGTGTGGCATATATATATGTACACAGTAATACTTCAATCATACAAACCTGTGCACCTGATGCATGTTAATTAATTGATATTACAAACCAAGGGTCTTGACCAGCCCACCTTTATACCGATACTGTGGTTAGTTATACAAAGGAAATGCCCCAACGCTACAGAGAACAAGTGTTTACTGATTGGCAAACTTCTGAATTTATATAGATTGAGCTTCTGTGTGTTGTGGTTAAACGAGGGACATCATACTGTACTGCAGATCAAAACAGAGCCAAGCATGCACCATATATTTCCATAAAAATGATGAATATCATACGAATGATGTGGGCAATGCAACATCTATAAACATTCTATAGAAACCCCACCATAATTACATGGAAACATTGGCTGCGCCAGACATGCCTAAGGTTTGTGTAGATGAAGGTGAAGGTTTCCTCAAAGCCTCTCAGCATTGGCCATCACACAGGTATCTTTACTATTTGATGACTGACTTATACAAACACACATCTACAATATCTCCTAACCAACTACCAGTAGTTTCCATTTCCAAAGAAGGAATTAGATATGTGAAGTTGTCTGGTCTATTATCTCTAAGCTACCTATTATTAATCATGATTAACAACCAATCAAGTCTTACGTATTATCTGCTGATGTAAAGAGTTGCTTATTTTCCCCAATTAAAAATGACGCCATCATTATTGTTGACCTCTAAATCAACTGAAAGATCTTTTCCTCTAATGAGTATGTATTCTTATGTCTTCTTTCATCTTAATAGTTCGTATCAATCAACCCAGTTCTTACACAAGTCATGTTCAAAACAGACCAGGGAAAACCAATGGCCACCTATCTGTCATGATCATCACCAATCAATGTTACCTTTCCCTGAACTGCCAGTTGTCTATGTTACCGTAAACTTGAGGCTTTTGAAGTAAAACCAATTTTCATGATGTAATACTTACCATAACTTTAGTATGCATATACAATACCTACACCCATCTTTGTAGCCCAAAAACAAAAGATTCAAATATCCCTACCTCCCTACCGTGACGTAACCTCTATCTCGATGACAGAGCCACGGAGTGATCTCCCTTCCTCAAACCCCCTTTTATGGAGCCTAAAGGCAGCCAGGATGAGGAGGCAAGGGGAGGAATACAGGGTGGGACTCCATAAAGTTATGGTAAGTATTACATCATGAAAATTGGTTTTACTTCAAAAACCTCAATTTCATTTCAGTAATAATTACCATAACTTTAGTATGCGAATTCGTCTTACCGTAGTGGAGGCTTCGAATCCAGGCAGACCAGGCTGACGGAACAAACTCGAGACATGCTCAAGGTAGGGAAAAGGTTCAAGGAACCCCCCTAATAAAGCCCCGAAAGTAATTAAAAAATGGAAAACCTCCCCGTGAAACGAGCAGGTGTACCACCGTGGTGCCTGATAGCATACTATTTAAAATCACTGAATTACTGTGGAGGAACAGCCACAGACTGTGCAACCACCACCGGTCCAAGGGAATACAATCCATCAGAATGAGAGGCCAAGGACCGGAGATAAAAATCCGTGAAGGTAGTCTGTCCGCGCCAGAAAGCTGCGGACATGACCTCCTGAAAGGGGGACCCATTGAGGAGGGCCCATGACGCAGCAAGGGCCCTGATCTCATGAGCTCTCACCTTATACAACGCCCGAACCTGATCATCCGAGTGGTCGTAACCGTACTTGATGACCTGACAGATCCATCTAGACACTGACTGAGAAGAGATATCCTGTTGACCCTGCTTAATGGGCAAAAACAGACGAGATCGAGGACCTCGCCCCCCCCTGGTTTTATCGAGGTAAAACCTAAGCGCCCGACAGGGACAGAGCAACCTATCCCGTTCCTCAGCTCCAACGAAGGCAGTCAAAGACGGAATCTTAATCGGATCGGGCGAGAAGCCAGGAACCTGATTCTTAGCCATAAAGGCAGGATCAGTGAGAAGGGTAACGGCAGAGTAATTCCTGGACCATCGGAGGCAAGAGGGGTGAGAAGACAAGGCATGAATCTCACTCCTCCTTCGACCTGAGGCCAGGGCAACAAGGAATACCACCTTGTAAGTAACAAACTTCAAGGAGGCAGACGCTAAAGGCTCATAAGGTGCCCGCATCAGCGATTCGAGCACCAGTGGCAAATTCCACTGCGGAGCCAACTGCCGGACCCTAGGCCTGTCCAACCCAAACCCCCTAATCAAGGCAGAAAGAGAGGAGGACGAGCCTACCTCCGACCTACCATGAACAGAGAGAACACTAGCAATGGCCGTGCGATAACCAGCGATAGTGCCAGGGGCAAGATTGCGGTCCCTAAACAGCCAAAGAAGGAAGTCCGCAATCACCTGGACAGTAGCCTTGATCGGATCAACCTTCCTGCCGACACACCAATCACAGTAAATCTTCCATCGTGACTGGTAGACGGCAGATGAGGAAGCCCTAATTGATCGAGCGATGCGATCTGACACGTCCCTAGAAAAGCCCGCCTGAGCGAGGCCTCCTGAGATAGCTTCCACGCGTGAAGGTGGAGGATCTCCGGACGAGAGTGCATCGTCCTGGAACGAGGCTGGCGAAGGAGGTTCGCTCTGAGAGGAAGAGCCAGGGGCTCTTCCACCAGAAGCGACAAAAGCTCCGGAAACCAAGGCTGCCTCGGCCACAGGGGCGCTATCAGGAGGAGGGAACACTGATGCTCCCGAAACTTCTGCAGCACCCTGCCCACCATGTTGAAGGGTGGGAATGCATATGCATGCATTCCCTCCCAATCCAGAGACAGAGCGTCCACGGCCCAAGCCCTTGGATCTGGTACCGGAGAGACAAACGTTGGCAACTGATTGTTCAGTGAAGTGGCGAACAGGTCTATGTGAGGCCTGTCCCACACCTGACAAATTCCCACGAAAATCGAGGGATTCAGTTGCCACTCTGTCAAAACCGGCTGGCAGTGCCTGGAAAGAGTATCCGCCAGAACATTCAACCTGCCTGGTAGATGCTTGACACAAATTGTCAACTGCATTTCCTGACATAGAAGCAGAATGCGGATAGCGAGGGCACACAGGGTGTGAGACCTGGTTCCCCCCGGTCTCTCCAGATACGCGACAACCGTAGTGTTGTCCGTAGCCACACAAACCACCTTGGAATGCAGGATCTCCCGATAAGACTGCAGAGCAAACAGAACAGCCCTCATCTCGAGCACATTGCTGTGCTCCGAGAGCTGTTCCCCAGACCACTCCCCCGACTGGCAACGCCCGTCGAGATAAGCTCCCCACCCTGTCATGGATGCATCCGTGTACAGGGTCATAGTGGGAACTGGCTTGGACAAAGGAACCCCTCGGAGAACATTGTCCTGATGAGTCCACCAGCGTGCGTACTCCTTGACCGACTGGTTCAGAGGAAGCAAGGCTTCCCAATCCC